TGTTAGTTGGAAAGGAGAAGTGGTAAGAAAATACAGTTGGTGAAAGAAAACAATGACCTTTCATATAAAAGATCACTCATTTGTTAAAATATTACTGTATTGTATATCAGTATATCTCACTTTTACACATTGTCTCCATAAATAAGAACATCATATACTTAATTTCAAAATTATTAACCACAGTGGGCTTTCCTAGAGGTTGCCTACTGATTGCTTGCCTTAATTTATTAGATACAGCTTAAGCTAATAAGGAAAAATGCATTTTACTTTATACCTTTTTTTAAGTCTTGAATCTTCTAACCTGATGCCCTCTTCCTTTGTCACCTGTTTTGCTTCACAGGTTGTGTACCACACTCTTCCTCATCTGTCTTTGCCTCCGTGCTCAATGACTTACAATTGGTAACAGCTGTTTAAGTTTCACAGTATGTTGCCTATAACTGGGATATGATCCATTAATGCATTGTATTTGTTTACAATCACTAAGACAAGATGTCAGCATGTTTGTGTAGCTGTCTTGCAAAGAAGACTTAAACCTTTAGCATGTTGTGATACTGGTAAATGCAAAGTGGTGCTGAGAAGAACATTGCTTGGCCAGGTTTATTCTGAAGGCATATACCACTGTCTACTTAAAAGCAAGTATGTCTGCACAGTGTTTCAGCTTCTTTCCTCACACTCTAGTTTAGCAGAGCACAAAGGGACAAGAGCAAAGAATTGAAAGGAAATGGATTTTTTTTTTTCTTTTTTTATTTCCTGGTCAGGGGTGATGGAAGTAAACATTTGAAATAAAAATATCAAAATCCCCAAGCAGCTATTATTTTCTGAAGTACCTCTGTTGTGATTTCATTTCTCATTAATAGCCGTTGTTTTCAGGCTTCGCTTCTTGTAGGCCTCAGTTTTATGAGAACACGTTAGGTGTTCAGTTGTGCTTCGGGGAAGGAAGAAGACAAACTCTGTGATTAGTGGAGGTGAATGAGTATTAGGAAAAAGACTGTTTTCTAACTGTAACTTGTATTTTTACTGTTATTTGGGAGCACTGTTGTCTCTCAGCATAAGCAGGTAGCACCCATTCCCTGCGAGTCTGTCGTAATGTTTTGGCACAGGCATTGTTCTCCCATTAACCCCCAACCACTCTTTCTTTTTTCCACTCATGTGCATCTGCTACTTCCCGTGTAGCCATCCACCTGTGGTGGCTTTGGTCTGAAGCCATTGCACCGAGTCTATTGCCCATTGGGTACATACTTTTGATTTAATGGGGAGTTAATGGTGTGACAGATGCACGTAAGAAGAGATCAGGAAAAGTGTTTTGAGTGTGCATACCTGAGAGTGCTGAGTGAATATATGCAACTCTACACTGTTGCTTGGGTTCCTGCTGTCACTAGCTGGCTAGAAGGTCTTTGCAGAAGATAAAATCGAAGGTGTTCTCTATTAAAGTTTTGGTGTGCGTTGATGACAAAAAGAAAATAAAATCCTCATTCCATCTTTCTGCCATTTTTCAGTATCTGTTTCCAGAGAATGCTGAGAAAAATAGTAGATCGTGAAATGCATTTTCGGTTTTCATTTGCAATGATGTTTCTTAATGAATTGTGTTGCATTCCTAGGACCTTTCCTAAAGGTCTGTAGGAGATGTTTGGGTGTATGGTATGCAGAATTGTTTTCCCATTTTGTTTCTCTGGAGAGCTTGCTTGGTACCTTCTCACTGGAGTCCCCTTTGGTTATATTACTTGCTCAACCTCTCTCAGTACAAAACTATCCATCTGTATCAGTACTGCTGTATTCTCTCCTCCTCAACCGTAATGCTCATCCAGTCCCATGCAGAGTCGATGGAGCTCGCTAATCCAGGAAAAAAACCAGAACAACAAAAAAAAGAAGTTAACTCTTAGCAGGTTGGCCATCTGTAAGGTTACCACGTTGGACTGACTCACCAATTCAAGGGCCAAGTATCAGAGTGGCTGTGCTGGTCCGAAGGAGGCAGAGAGGAGGGGGGTTGTGCCTACCAGGGAGGGTGGCAAAATTGCAGCAGCTCCCCTTCACTCACATTGGCTTAAACTTGTTGCAGTGCTCTATGTCCTCAATTCCTTTCTGCCAGTTTGGGTAAATAATCACCTCCAAGGCACAGCAACCATTTCTCTTGCCAGTTTACTTTTTATCTGTCACTCTGTCTTCAGACAGCGCTTCTTTTAGGTTAATGTCATAAAGCTTTGTGAAGATAGCCAGATATTCTCTGCCACTGACATTTCAAGCTGTACCTTCAAGTGGTACGTGATTGGGCTTGGTGTTTATGCTTATTGAACTGAAAATACACACCCTTAGAGTAGCTGATCAACTGACCTGTTCGTTCATCAACTAGAAGATCTTTGGAGCAGTGCTCTTCTCTTTTTTTTTTTTTTTTTTTTTTTTTTTTTTTTTACAACAGATTTATGTCTGAATGAGCAAGTTCTTTTCATAGTATATGTATCTTTGCTACATGTTGCTACACGCTTCACTGTACTTTCAGTACAGAGCTTGGTTGTTCATGACCTTGCAGCAATATCGCACCCCTAATGTTAGTACTATCTTTTGGTACGTACCCAGCTCAAAAACTCTTGAAGCGTAGTGAGTATTGAGGTTTGGAATTGACACTGCTCACAACTGTCATTGCATAAGAAAAACAGTTTGATTGTTTGATTTGCTTGTTTGGGTATTTTTTTGTTGATGTGTTTGTGGTTTTGGTTTTTTTAACTGCTAGTTTGTTTATAACTTGACTTGGCAGTTTTTACATAGTTTTGAAAGAATTTGAGTGTTGGTGAAATGTTCCCCTGGCACCTTTCAATGGGGAAGAAAGGATGTTTTACAGTCATTATAGTATTGGGTTTGAGATTTGAATTCAGCTCATCTTTATTTTAAGTGAAATATTGAAGCTCAGTGTAACCTCAGTAAAGAATAGTACCAGGATATAAAGCTGGTCTTTGAAGTGTGTTTAGAGGATATTGGAGATGTATTAATATTGCTGTAGAATTAAGATTGTGTTAAAGCCAATGTAAAATAACTTCATTTGCATGTTAATATTCATAAAAATTTAAAGAAACTGTAAAAGGAAATAACATAGCAACTTTCTGGCTATAGATAAAAAAATGGTCTGATTAGGTTTTCTAAGTACGTATCTCTTCTTTCTCAACAACTGTTGGGTGTAATGAGAGGAAGAGAGAGAAAATGAACAATTAATGCACCATATGTACAAAACAAGAAATCCAGTCTGTAGGTGTTACACTGAACAAGAATTTGGTTTAGTCCCATCTATCTTTTTTATGTAGATAGCTTTTACTCATCTGTATTGCATTTCGAAAGACATGTGCCTAGTAAAGGTTACTTGCTGTTTGTTATTTTTTTCTTTTAAGTTAAATATTTTCTGCAAGAATACTGTATGTGTATGTGTGTATAAATATATTATGTTTCTGCACACTTTAACCCTACATATGTGTATGTAGTGATTTGAAATCCATCCATTATCAAGCAACAACATTACACGACATCTTAATGATTTGGGGTTGTTTCTTTTCTAGAAGAAATAAGCAGCTTCCCCTTCAAATCCTGCTAGGATAGCAGCTGCAGATGAGAATGAGCTTCCATATTTAATACATTCTATTAACTTCACACATACAAACACACACTCACTCACTCGCGCACCCCAGTGTCACATTATAGGTGAACAGGCCCTAATTAAAAGCACGCACCATCTGCCGGAGCGTGGCAGCGGGGTGGCACTCCATAACCATCCGGATTCCTGTGATGGAAATGTATTATTTATGAGCTCAATGAGCAAATGTGCCGCTTGGCTGGCGGAGGCTGCATTAGGGGCTGGATAGCACCATCTAATGGCATGGTGTGCTGCTGGCCGTTCATTCTTCCTCCTCTTCCTCTCCCCTCCTCAGTCTCCTCCTCCAGTATTTGTATTTTTCAACGTTGTCTTTGGAGGTTTTTATTATCGTGTTTCAGATAGTTTTGTGTCTCATGTTTTACTTTATACAAAACTGAAAACCGTTTTCAGTATTGTACACTGTTTGTGGTGTTTGCAGCAGCCTTTCTTTTCCTTCCAGCGCTGTGCATAGGGGTTTACTTCCTGCAGTAAAAACGATACTGATGTGATGTGGTGGTAGAGAAGTGGGACATTACCAAGATAGCTGAGCAGGATCAGTTTACTGCCATTTCTCCTTCCGCTCCCAAGTGTGTGTGCAATGGAAGTATCTACTGCTCAGTCTGAAAATTTTATTTTAATATTGAAATTGGCCCTATTTTTCATTGAGCAGTACACTACAGACTGCATAAAGGTTCTTCACTGGGTCTGAAAGAAAGGGGAGAGATTTGCAGGTTGCTTTCAGAGAGGAAGGTCCAAAGCTGCAGCTGAGATCGTAACCTCTTCCTACTTGCAGAGATCACGTCCTGTTAATTGCTTCGTAGTGGGGAAATGGATGAGGAGGTGTTGGACTGAGGGGTGAAATATGGTTTATCAGGAGAGGAAAGGGGTGACAGAGAAGGAGCCGTTTTTGTTATGGTTGGTCCATCAATCTACCTTTGCACACTGCTAGATTACAAAGTCAGAACTAGGCAGAACGTATAATGTGTTTTGTGTTCAGCTCGATGACCTTTAGAGTATGCAGAATAGTCACACTGATCCAAAATTATTTGGGGGATTATGGTTTTGTTTTCAGGCTTTTTGTTACGTTCTTGGTCTTTTCAGTATCCATGCAGGGCATCCCACAGTATTTTTACAGCAATAATGAGCAGTAAGGACTGGACTGATACATGAAATAGCAATTTTTCTACAATAACTTCCAGTAAAACCACTTTTTAAAATTAAAGAGACTGGTCACTGTTTCAGCTTAGGCAAGACAAGACCCTGAATAAAATTGGACAAAATATGTGTGCATATTTATTTTTAAAAATCAGCATGTTTTGAAGAATGTTGAAATTTTGTAAACTCTGGCACATTTATGAATACACGTGTTCTTGTTGTTTGTGTTTAGAATGTATGCCATCAGAAGGATAAGAGATGCCTTCAGAGAAAACAAGAATATAAAGGATTCTGAAAAAATAGAAGAACTAGTGAATAAAGCCAAAGCAAACTTAGAGGTTATTCATCGACAGGTATGTTTATTTCTCTCATATTATCTGAGAGTTGTACACTCCTCAGTTCACTGCCTAATGCCACTACTGATGGAAAACATAGATCCTTTATCAAAACATATCTGGATGCACAGTTGTTTTTGTATGTCTGAGTTTTAGAGGGTGGGAAACATCCATTTGTCCATAATGGTTGCAGTAAGGGATTTAGGGCTTCCATTAACCAGAACAGGCCTTGCTGCCAGAAGTTTACATGCTGTTCCGTTACCTTTTCTGCTGTTAGATTTATTGTCACTTCACTCTGATTCTGTCTGCCTAATTTTCCTTTGAATCTGTTTCCTCCAGCTCGTGTGTATTAGATTCCTTTACTCGTGCATTCCTCCTTCCATCACAGGTTTACAATGGTGGCTGTGACACTCGGGCTGAATAGTTGTGCCTTCTGTGTTTGTTTTTCCCTGCCTCCAGATACAGCATTAGAACAGTAGCAGAACAAAAAAGTCCAGAAGTGAATTAAGCAAATGCTGGTTAACTGTGTCCAAGCAAGGTGACAGATTTTTCTTTGAAAAAAGTTGAGTCACTGGCAGTATTTTTCTCTGATCTTGTCTGAGTAGCGTTTACAACATCTCTGCTCCTTCCACTGGGTACCATATTGTTTAGACATGACTTATACTTCCTTGAACTTCAGATACTTTATTACTTCTCACACATACCCACTGTCTATGTACAGTGACCACTGGCAGTTCAAAGAAAGCAAGCTTCTACTCTTGCAATCTCTGCACTTGCAATGCTTAAGCTGTCCCTCCTTACAAAATCTGCACTTACTGACACCGGTCAGAGCTCAGCACTACTTAGGAAATACCTAATGAGTATGTGTACCAGCTCCTGCATGGCCTGTTGTAACATGAGTCTTTTAACGGCCAGCACGTCAGCTGGATTCTTATTTCAGTAGGAAGCTGGGCCCTTTGATTTTGCAGTTAAGTATGAATATTTTGGTGCAAGTTAAATAACTTCTTTGGAATTTCTTTTCCCAGGAACAGGTACATTTTTCTGTTACCATAGCTTTTTGGTTTTTTTAACCCAAACACTGCTATTTTTTTGTAATTTAAAAGTGTTTCTCAAAGAAACCATTCAGATTTGATTGTTTCAATGCAATTATATTAAATATTTGGTGGGTTTTTCTCATATCTATAGATGATGAGTAGCATTTGAAGCTCTTCTTTTTGAGGTTTTATTTTGGAGAGCCTTGATACCCGGTATTCTCCAGGGAAGTATTAGAGGCTGGAGAAGACTGAAGGAGGGGGTGTCACAAGAGAAGAGTCAGAGATCACTCCGACAGGTCTGATGTAGTAGTTAGTTTATTTAGTTCTAATCAGTAAATATATGTAAAATATTTAATAAGTACAGATGGATTGGCAGTCAATACTATTTACTACGCTTAAAGTTAGTATGGGATACAAAGATTAGCACTTAAGCTTACTATGCATATCTTAAGTGTTGCATGCAAGCAAGAGAATGTCTCTTACCAACCCGTCTGTGTCTGGTGTCAGGTAAGGGATCTCTCAGCTGCGAGGGGTAACCTTGAGAGGTGTCCCTACTCAAGGGGAGATCAGTGCTGCGCAGCCAGCTGCTGTGGAGGGTTCAATGGACCCTGATGCCTGGAGATATTATAGCATAAAATAGTTGATTTGTAGTTAGATTTTCTGCTGTGTTAATGCAGTTTCAGCCCAGTTTCCAGCCAAACCATGTTTTTTTGGGTTTGGTGCTAGGTTCTCACCAATGGCTTCACACAATAGGATTACTTTCCATTAGGCCTACTTGCTAAGTATCTGCCTGGACCAAAGTTCAGTTAGTTCAAACACGAGGAGGTTCCTGTTCCTTCCATCCTCATCACAGAGGATGGAAGAGGTAAGAATGCACAGGGTTACAAATTCTGCCACTTACTACTTTGATCTCTGTAGCAATTTGTGGAGGTGGGTTCTCCCGTAGTAAAACGCTACAGAAAATCTCTTCTAGATTGTGGCTAAAATAAATTCTTGTCAGTGTGTCAGAAAATGCTCTATGATGGTTGTACGTAAGAATGTAAACATTAAATCTTTGATAAATCAGGAAAATATTAGTGAGGCTACCAGAGTAACTGTTATGCCATGAAATGGACCAAATTTATTTTGGTTTTAAAATAGCTTGACTGGGATCTATTTGGCATATCTCTTTTATAATAGGAAGTACTTCCTTCTTCTGAAGAGTTCAAATTCAAGGCATGAAAGCATTTGAAATAGATGGGAAATATTGTTCCTGCTTTACAGATACGTATTTGGGATGCTGAAATGAGGATGCTGATTTGTAGTACCTTAGCATTTTGGGTACCCTGACTTTGGTGTAGGTAGGGTTTGACTCTCGCTCATTTTATGACTCAGGTGGTGGGTAAGTCTTCCTAAAATAAAAGCTCTCTAGCTTTTCTTTTGACAAAACATGGTTCTACTGACTCTTCTGAGCCATAATAGGCTCTGGGACAGACTTTAAAGTAAAACTCCTCATTGTTGTCTGAGTGCTGTGAACACCCAGATCACCTTGTCACTGTAGACCCTGAAAAAAGACACCGTTTTGCTAAAACAGACTCCTGACAAGGGAGAGTCATTTACTTCTATGATATGGGTCTTGTCTTGCACGTTCTATGAAGTTCTCGTTTAGCTTGGAGGTTGTCCCACAGCATTCAGCTGCCTTGGAAAGAGTAAGAACAGGGGGCAGGCTTGGTTAATCTCTGCCCACTCACCGTCCTTTGTAAAGGAGTAGTTGGCCTTAAACCCATTCTGTGCTCACTGGTTGCTAGTGAACATTTTGATCATACATAAATGTACACATGTGCCTCTGTACCCCAGTATCTCTAACAAGCCTGTACGTGAACAATAGGTAGCTGTTTCGTATACCAGCCTGTATTTTGTACTGGTAAAAGTGTTGTGAATTTAATTCTTTGTTCAAGAAAACGACAGCAGTTGAACAAGATTTGTTATTTTCTCTTAGCATGGATTCTGCTTTTTTTCATTACATCAGCAGAGCCGTTTTAATCTGCTACTTTTTTTTTTTTTCCCATCTTCCTACTTTGTAGCAATGGCAAGGAAATTCTATAAGAAATCTTTCTTGACTTATAACTGAGGGGAGTCATTGAGAAGCTATGTTTCTCTCTACCATGTAATATATAAATCTTGCTTTAAAATGTTTTATATGTAGGTGTGAATTTTTCAGCCAGGAAGATGTTCAGAAGCAAAAAGGGCAGGAAGGGTTCTAGTTCCCTGGAATAGCACTGCTTGAATTCTCAGAATTTAAAAAAAAAAAACCACATATGTTTTAGTTTTACAAACATAGAAAACTAGTATTTAATACAAATATCTTAAATATATTATGCTCAAACTTGTTTGTTCAAGCAAACAGTGTTAAGTACCTATCTTTCTGTTACGTATTTGTTACTTGGAGGGTATCTTTGTCACTGGGACATGCCAGAAAAATGGAGAATGGCCTCAGTTATTGCTAAATCTGCAGTGTTTTATTGCTAAATCTGCAGTGTTTTGCTTGTTTGTTTGTTGTTTCAAATCTCAGCTACTTAAGGGGCTTCTCCCACATGCAAAAGCAATCTGCTAAAGCTAAAGTAGTTTATATTGTATCACATTTTGGTATCATTCCATGTAAAAATTTCAGGAAAAATGTACTTGAAAAGTGAGGAATATTAAAGAGTGACACAACTTCCCATTTTTAACGCTGCTAAAACCGTGAAACTTTAAATTGAAGTATGTCTTACATGTCACAATTCTAGAAACTTTCCAAAGTATAATCATGCTGCATTCTGTTTTAGAAGGCTGTATGTGTTTATCTTATATCTCTGTGGGAGTAACTGACAGTAACACACATAATAAACATAATAGGCAACGAAACTTTTTAACAGAAAATAGTCTGATTAAAAAAAAATTAGTTTATCAAGATAATTTTTTTGACTTGAGTCGCTGCAAGACTTGATATTTGGGTAATAAGGATTGTTTTTTTTCAGAGTTGTTCCTCCCTCTTCCCTACCCACCCATCCCTCCCAACCCC